AAAAAAAAAAAAAAAAAAATGTAAATGTTATTGTTATTTTTATCACTAACATGTTTGTCACGACTCAACATTGCAAATAAATTATTTGCAATGACAATAGGCTTTCAACCACATGATGTTGTCGTGGCAAAAGCCATTTTTTCTAGTAGTTTTTTACTTTTTACCATAAACTATTGTGAAGAAAATTTCACATAAATCTTTTGAACTTTAAATTCACAAGAGTACGGTTGTTTGGATATATGATTTTCCTTCTTCCATGACCAAGTGAAAACAGAATAATAAATTTAATTTCCAATAAAAATTTCAGTAAATAAACGTAAAACCATTTTCCAAATAGGTGGAAAATGGAAAAGCATAACCGAACTTACTAGTCGTGTTAGGTTTGTGGACACACTGTATTTGATGTCCGCCGCTCGTTGAATTACTTGATAACCTGCACCACTTCCCTTTCGCTTCACAGCCACCGCATGCCGGTTCAGACCACCTCAGATGGAGATATTTCTCATATATTACATAGAATGGAAGATAAACTTTATGTAACCTCGTACAGGAAGTCAAATCAAGTGAACCAACATTATCCCACTCAGACTCAGTAATGGCAAAAAAATGAGAACTGGAATCGCCAAGACAAGGAAATGAATAAAATAAATCTCTTCGTGAACAATTAACAAGGATATAATCCCGGTTTTCTGTACTCAAGAACTGTAATGGGGTCGCGGATAAATTCAGATGTGGTAGCTTTTTCACAAGACATTTTTCAGGATCATAAAGGTCAACTTGCTGAAGAACATAGTTGATCTTCTTTACAGCAACTTGTACGGAGAAAGGCAATTCAAGCACAGTCTCCATTTTCTCATTGCAAAACACATCAAAACCTGGATACCCACAGTGTTGAGGGCTTCGATTTTTGTCTCTGAAAGGGAACCGAATAGTTGGCCCATGTTTACTGCACCTTGTGGGCTTACAATCATCTATTTCTACTCCAAGCACTGCGAAGTACAACAAACAGAAGAAAGTGAAAATGAGAAAAACGGACATGGCATCTATACAAGGCTTTCTGATATCAGTTTGTGTGTCTCTTGCACGTTATAATCTAAGGTAATTACAGCACCTATAACTTTATCTCTTTCTGTTATCATATATTCAGGGTATTATTTGTTAATATAATACATAGTATCCTAAATGCCAGGAGCCAAAAATATATATATATATATATATATATATATATAAAATTTGACTGATTCCACACGGGTCGCTAAGTGCTTCGGCCGTCTTGTCCAATAATTAGGAATTAGTCGAGCTTGTGAAATACGCAAACAGTCAAAATACTTCACATCTGTGCATTTACTAGCAGGAAGCAACTAAGAAAGTTATATTCATACCCACACCACATGGTAGGCCTAACCATTCATGGTATTGTGTGGTCCAGTTCTGCCCAGTATGTTACGTCCCCTTCTGTTGAATTGACTCTCGTTGAGTAGTTAAAAAGTTCTAATACTTTCTTGCTGATGGGACGAAGACTTGCAGCTACACCAAAACTGGAAAATACCTTAGATTTCACCATTTGTTTTTTAACGAATCTATTGGTTTTAAACTTTTCTAAGTCTAGCTTCAACTCATATACCTTTTCGACCATAACATTCGCACCGGCCTTACGTGACTAACTGTATTTGAATGCGTATAAGCATTAAATCCTCATATTTTTAGTTTTTAACAACTAATAATAGAATAGAAATATGGTTGTTTGGAAATTTTATCATTGAACACCATCATTTTCTCTAGTCAACTTCAACATTACACATATATCAGGCCTTATAATTCAGAGCTTGCTTCGAAAATCGTACTTGTTTATGGTCCCCATATTTTGACTATATATTTCCAGTCTTCCCCTTCTCCCATATCATGATATCATCCTCAAAGCTACGAATCACCAAAAAAAAAATCATGCGATGCCACAAGATCAATCCCCTCCTCAAATCCCTTTCTTCCTGCTTGATCATGATCCAATTGCTCGAGACATGCATCGGGAAGAAGACTTCTCCCCACTGCCCACCTTCCTCCTGCGGCAATATTCTTAATATTAGCCACCCTTTCAGGCTGAAAAAGGACCCTAAACACTGTGGTAACACAGATTATGAACTAGCCTGCGAAGATAATACCACCTTCGCACATTTTGACTCTCAAAAATACATTGTCCGGTCTATCAATTATCCAAACCGCACAATCCGCTTATCTGATGCTTCTATAATAGAGAATGACAGTTGCTCTTTCCCAACATACCATCATCTATCTCCATACGACCTTATAAATATTACCAGCGGTAGATATTCAATTACACGCTATGTTAAATCTTCATTTCACCCAGTTATGAATTTTCCCAGGAAATATCCATATGGTTTCAACGAGTCCGTTACCAAAAACTTGATTGTCATGACTTGCCCATATCGACTGAATAGCTCACTTCTTCTGGAAGTAGCTTCCGATTGTGGCCACATGGATCACATGTACATGAAGTCTGGCCATTTTAATGGATCGTGGTTCACGGATAATTGTACGATAGATCTCATGGGGAAGACTTCAAAATTGCCAGTAGTACCCAACGGTGAAAACAGTGTTTCGCTTTCAGAAATCCACAGTTGTCTACTGTATGGGTTGGAACTTTCATGGTTCGACGCGCCTTGTGGTGGCAAGTGTGCATATTGCTTTGTTGACGGCAAACAAGCCACGTGTATGTTGGTTTGATTTGGGTGATTCCGTGTGGTAATACTTGCATTTGTATAAAGAATTTGAAACTAAGTTTTCACATGATGAGAGACGAGATTTATTATTAATCATGATAAGTTTTCAAGTTCTGACTTCAACCAAAATTTTACTGAAGCTAAGATACAGTATGCAACTTCAAACTTTATTTTGGGAGTTTATTGAAGCTTTTGAATTCTAATAATAGTCTTATTTCTTTTCTGGATAATGCAGGTGGTATGCCAATGTGGTTCAGTGATGCCCTCGCCTGTAAGAATTCTTCAGCTCTATGGCCTTGTAGGCATAAAATCTTCATTAATGCATTCCTTGTGAACTTATCTGAATATTTTCCATTTTACAACAACATAGCCTTTTAGTCCCAAGCAAGTTGGGGTAGGCTAGAGATGAAACCCAAGAGAACCAATGGTAAAGAGAACCAGCTACTTGAAATACATTTGATATATCAAATGTATATATCCGTGTTCCCTAGCTTCTTCATACTATCTCTTAGCTCTGTTGAGCTATTGGGCTGTTATTGTTTATAAGTGTTTTCTACCCAACCCATTTATCAAAATCCTCCAACGAGCTATGCAAACACCACATATATATATGATAAGTTATGAACCCTATGACAAGAGTTACTTTTGTTATATTTGGCATTAAAGAAAGCATTAGAATATAAATTGGAACGGAAGATTTCTTTGATAGTCATATGAATAAAGCATTCATTTTGGTATGGAGGTAGTTGTTTTCATATTTTTCATACCTTTTCATTTTGAATTAATATGAAGGATATGTTTAACTATCTTTTTATATATCATTTACGACAATAATACTTTTTCGTACTTTTGCGCTAATCATCAACATGTGATTTACGTGCAGTGATTACAAATATTCTTTTGCCGGTTGTGGGTAAGTTCTTTGAGTTAATTCAATTAAAATCTATATTCGTTCTCTATCGTCTGATTTATATATGTTAAATTGATGCTCATTCTCAAAATTAGGTAGATTGCTCTAGTACTAGGATAAGAGAAAAAGAAATATACAAAACCATGTGTTTTTTTGCCTTAACCTAAATGTTATTTAAAAATGCAACTTAAACACCATGGACATTCAAAATTTGAACCTCCAAAGCATCTTGACGGTACAATGATCAACAAAACAACACATGTATGAGGTCGAGATGCACAAGATGTCGCAAATCATGAATGTTGCAAACCACGAATGTTGCAGGATTTGTGCCTATGCAACCTAAAGTATTTTTATTGGTATATGCAACCTAATCTTTTTTCACTGGTAATGTAACATACAGTTGATGAACATTCATAATTTGCAATTTTTATTTCATTCCGGCCAAGAAATACCTATGTTGCAAATGCTAAAAAACTGTATAGTACACATTGCAAATTTTGTTTTTCTCTTGGGAGGAAAATGTACTACTGGCACTTAAATAAATCTAGAATGCTCCTATCCCATCTTGTTTATAAATACGGAGTTTCATGAGTTTAAATGTTATGTTTGAGTTTTGTAATACTACATCATCATCCTCTCCTTGAGTTTAAGTTTAGAGTTTTGTAATACTACATCATCATCCTTTCCTCTCCTCTCCTCTGGTGTTTCTGGATCCTATGCATCTGCATCACTTTATAATGGTTCAAAATAATCCACGTAGATTTAGAGTTTTATATGTATAAATTATGAATTTTAAAATTATAAAATATTTGATCAACTTAAATTGTAAATGTGTTTTAAAAAATTTAATAATTTTTTATTTATTATTAGTTTTCAAATAAATCATACTTTGACGATCTATAACTTTACATGCATATTTTATATAATAATTATATCTACCGTTATATATAAAATAAAATTTATCTATCAATCTTAACTAAAAATAAAAAAAATTATTATCCACCAATTAAAAGATGTTAATAATGCAATATCTAGGCATCATTAAATAAGATCAATAATCCCCCAATATATAAATGTAGAGTTTCCCAAAACTCAAGTAAAGTCTATTCTGGTGCTTCGTAATTCTACGTGTTGAATTCTAGTGGTTGTGTTAATTTCTAGTCCTCCGGAGTAATTCATGTAGATCGGGACTACTATTCATATCTATTATGACTTTTAAAATTCTAAAATACATAAATAACATAAATTATAAATATATTTTAGTAGTTAATAATTTTTGTATTTATTACCAATTTTTCAACTAATATCAAATTAATCGTCTTTTGACAAACTTCGATTTGACATTCATATTGCATGTATAAATGAAATAAATTATTTAATATATATATCGACTAATTTAAATTATATATAAATACTAGTTGAAAACTAATATAATTACAAATCAATTAAAAAATTTGTCTATAGGTCATCCGATATAAATTAGAAATCTATTATAATATAATACAAGTAAATTTTACAAGTGAATATTATCATTTAAATATAAAAAATAATGCAACATCGGTAATAAGTATTTAATATTTAAATAAAAGAAAAAAAACTATTGTTTCTCATTTTTAGAATTTAAGTATAACTAGTACAATACCCGTGTATTACACGGGTGCTTGCTAATTTTTTTTCTTAAAATCTAAAATTAATGAGAAAAAGTAGTTTGAAAATTTAAATACCTTTTATAGGAATATATATATATATATATATATATATATATATATATTATATTTATTATGATACTTTTTATTTGTGCAACTTACTTGTGCTATATTATACTATTTTTTTAACTTACAATATATAACTACATTACATATAAATATATCAATTGAGAAATAATTTTATTTTTTTAATGAATTTTAATAAATATTAATATTTTTTATTATTATAAAGATAAATATAATTAATTTATTTCATATATACAATATGGATGTCAAATCGAAGATCATCAAAAGATGATTAATTT